TGCCGGACAAGACCAGATAAATAAAACATATATCACCATCTAAATTTCAAAAACCATAAACTTTACGCTTTTTTAAGGAAAAAGATGCCAAAATACATCAAGGTTCTCAAACAAGTTAACTCACCTTTGGCGTGGACATATGCATGCATAGATTCGAGAGATTCGAATTGTGCGTTACAAACATTTTCCGAGCTGAACCATTCGATCGATACAAAAGTTTAGCGAGTCTAGTACGTCTTCACCTCATAATACACTGGCCGTCTATATGATATGATAAAAATGGCAAGTTTCCAAATCCTGATAAAAGCGGTGGGCCGGTGGTCGCATAATAAAACAGAAAACCCTGGCGCGCATTAGAGTATATAATAGGAGGATGGAAATAAAAATACAGTGCAGCTCAAAAAAAGAAGGATGAAAATACAGCAAGTAAAACCGTGCAGGTTGACAACTTTACATGTCATCACGAACGGTGCGAGGGCTCAAATTCTCGATGGGTTACAGTGACAGCTTTGACTGAACTGTTCACTTGTTGCCTGTGGGGCCACAGTCCACAGATGGCCCTTGTGCACTGCCACTGCAGCCTGCACTGCAGGAGAGAGAGACGAGACGAGGGAACAAGAAAGTTGGATTGGATGCTCGCTCGGATCGGAGTGAGTGAGACTGTGAGTGCGCGTGCACGTCGCTGTCGCCTTCGTGACGAACGCACACCGTCAGCGGCTAGCTACCTACTCCTCCAAACCTTCTTCCGGCTCCGGGGATAAAAAAAGATATATAATAATCAGTTAATCACGGTGGGTGGATAATTACTGCTAGACATGCTTCATTGACTCTAATTTCCTGAGCACCTGCCTAACCTAACCTTTATTGTCAAGGTTGCTAGGACAAGAGCACGAGAGCATCGTGCATGTTTTAGCCGTGTGCCGTCTCTTCTACGAGAAGTTGCAACTGGCAACAACTTGTTGGATGTATGCACGCAACAATAGAGTGTGTGAAATTGTGATAATTTGTTGATTGCATTTTTTAAAAGGGTTAATCTTCGTTACTCGGAGACAGAATACAGAGACGTGACAAAACGTGCGTTTTTGTTGTTGTTTGCATTGAGTTGATGTGAACCAAAGCAAAGGCAAGTGCACTTCTATGTACCAGCGACCGTTTTGAACGTAGCACAGATATTTTGTTACGGGCGGACCCAGGGCCCGGCGACCCTGGGCTCTGCTCGGTGATAGACGTTAGGAAATGAAGGGCAGTGCACCACCGCTGCAGCCTGCGTTGTAGTACGTGTTTGCACACTGCACACTCAATCAAAAGTCTCACGGAGTGATAGACATGCATCGCAAGCTCAGACACCATACATTTCTAGCTTAAAAATGCAGCCAGCGTATACCTATGAGCTTACATAATATATATTGGGAATTTTTTTTTAGCAATTCAACGTATAATTAATCATAGTGTCATAGGGCATGTTTATATATTTTCTCGCTACAAATTGCCGCCATTTATGACTCATAATCTATTTCTTTATAAACTCTGATATATGATGATTTAGTTTTGTTTGATGGCCATGTATTCACCTCAATCCACGTGTGTTAATCAATTCCAACACATATAGATTAAGGCATATACATGAGCATCCAAACAGGACCTTACATAGAACACCATGTTTTTTCTTAATTAAAGTATGTGAAACCTTAGTTCTTTGAGTACAGTTAAATATCTACTTATACATATTATTCATAATATATATGCTTAAATTTACATACAATTATCATATATTGCTACTGGAACTTACCGTCTGCAATACCACATGCTACACTATACGTTATTTAGTAACTTGATATTCGCCCAGGCTCTACAAAATTTGTAGGTCCGCCACCCGTGTCCGTACAGTACAAACGAAGGGGTTCAATCTGTTTCATCATCAATTAGAAGCTTCGGGTTAGCGCGCTTTCCGGGGCTGAGCTCTCGATTACGATCTCCGCGTCGCGCTACACACACGACTTGGTCAAACATCAAACAACGACTGCCAGTGGGAAGCGGAGAGAGAGGTTCCCAAGTCAAGTCGTCGTCGGATCCGCGCAGCTCCATGCATGCGGTTCGCGCCAGTCCGGTCCCTGATCACAGTCAAAACCGTGTGTACTATGCACTAGTACAATCATTACTACCTGGCACTAACTGCGGTTTCTGGCCGGCCTTCGTACCGTTTGTTTGACGGATAAGCTACGATTAAAAGTATTATTAACTGATAGATTGTGAGAGAAAAAAACTATTTGTTAATTGAAAAAATACGATTTATAAGCCCAGCGATCTAGGCGTTCATAGGTTTGACCTTACTAGTACCTGCAGCAGACCGCATCCAAGTTTACATGGGCTGGCAAGGCAAGCTGTAAAACATTGTTACAGAGACGAAGATATCCACACGAAAAACGGGCATAGCAGGGGGGCTACGTACCCTTGACCGGGGAATGAATTAGGGTGGAAACCACCCCAAATCCACTCTTCAGGTGATGGTGCTCGACGTGGTGCCCGTTGGGCAAAACAGCTGGAGCGCCATGGAGGGAACGCTCGGCAGCAGCAGTAGGAGCAGCGGCGAGGACGCCGGAGACCGCAGGCGGCCGCTCCAACACGGCGCGCTCCTAGTTGTGCGAAATCTTCGCGACTTCGAGCTTGGATTTCGAGACGACCAGCTTGATGTCATCGATGGTACCCTTAATCAATGGACGCCACTCCTCGAGCAATGCCGTGACGCGCTCCATTGCCGCCATGCGAACCTCCTGCGCCTGCTCCAGATCCTAGATCTGGCGCGAGACGCGGGCTTCTTGATCCGCGAAGCGGGAGTCCCACTTCTGATCGTGCTCGGTGAAGCGGCGATTGATCTCGTCGATGATGAGACGCGTCTCCGGATTCATGACTCCCAGGCGGTGCTGTCGTCGAGTGAAGTGATCGTGGGCTAGTGGTGGGGGGAGATCCAGATCGACTGCACCCACAAACCGATCGAGCGGAGAAAGGAATTACGACAATCTAGATCTCTGTCAGCAGCTCACTGCCAGAAATCCGATGAAACCAACCAAATCAGCTGCTCAATCAATCGATGGAGTATGTGCGGATCGATTGGATGCCCAAAACCGGTGTCTCTGATACCAATTGTTAGCAGTAATTGAGGTAGAGTGAAGAATTGGGAAAGGATTAGACGAACAGCACAACAAAAGGGATCGGAAGGAATAGTGAGGAAGGTTGAGTTCTTAGGCAGAGCACAGAGTGTTTGGTTTACAAAATAACTTGATGTCTTTTTCTCTCTCAGCTCTCAACTCTTATACTCTAGCAGGGATGTATTCGACTTTGACTCGTGCACGCAGGCACCTACTCCCACTCGTTTCCGGACACACGCACATTGGGCCGCCGAGCTCGGGTTCCCGTCAGAGGCCCATCACCGCCGTCTTCTGGGCCTGTGGTAGAGGTAGCAGGTCTCGTTCATTTCGCTGAAAAAATAAGTTAAAATATTATTTCGACTAATTTATTGTGGAAGAAAAATACTGTTTAAATTAAAAAAATAAATTAAAAAGTACGGATTATAAATAAGTGAACAGATCCTACACATGCGAATGCGATGGGGGCAGACCGGACCGGATCAAGGGATTGACTGACTGGTTGGCGTCATGTCTGCACGCTCACTAGCCTCCTAGAGGCTAGACCGTAGCCTAGCGGCTGCGTGGCCTGGGTGTCAAGGCCTGGTTTACGTAGGAATCAGTATTTGGCACTGCAGTATTTTCGTTTGTATTTGATAATTATTGTTCAATCATGGCCTAACTAGGCTCAAAAGATTCGTTTTATAATTTACAATCAAACTGTGTAATTAGTTTTTTTTATCTACATTTAATACTCCATGTATATGTTCAAAGATTTGATATGATGGAGAGAGAGTGAAAAAACTTGGAATCTAAACAAGGCCCAATTGTGCGGCTTACCCAGGCTGTGTTTAGTTCTCGAAAACTTTCTCAAAAAATATACAGTAGCCATTGCATCGAATCTTACAATACGTGTATGGAGCATTAAATATAGACGAAAAAAAATTAATTGCACAGTTTGGTTGGAAATCGCGAGACGAACGTTTTGAGCCTAATTAGTCCATGATTGAACATTAATTACTAAATAAAAACAAAAGTGCTACAAATTTTATGAACTAAACACAGCCTCAACGTGAAAGAAAAACTGAAAAAGACACTGCCGGCCCGGTGTTCTTTCTTTGACGCGATTTTAATTATAGGCCTGGTTCGGCAGGACTTATTGTCGTGCGTACAGCTGATTTGTAAAGTTATTTTTATTATGAGAGAAAAATATTATTTTATAACAAAAAAGTAGGGCACACGCACGGATTTGCGTCCAGCTTTGCGGTGCTTCACGTGATCAAGGTATGGCACGCCAATTTTTCTACACGGAAAACATTCCTCGACAGTAAGATTCTGCTTGGAGCAACAAGATATCCGGACCATTAGGCCCCGTTTAGATCCAAAAATTTTTGGATTTTGGCTCAGTGTAGTATTTCGTTTGTATTTAGTAATTAGTGTCTAATTATAGACTAATTAGGTTTAAAAGTTTCGTCTCACGATTTCTTACCGCAATTATTTTTTTTTCCATCTACATTTAATATTCTATACATATGCTGCAAGATTCGATATAACGGATACTACGCAAAAATTTTTGGAATCTAAAGAGGCCCTTATTCTACTGCCGCCCGTCCTTCGTCACAACCAACCGTACAGACATGTCCACGTGTGCCGCGGCAGCTCTTGCCATTGCAAATTTGCAATCCCGCAGCCGCAGGCTAGCGCGCCGGCCAAAACTCAACTCATCGATGGCCCAAACGAAACCACCGACAATCATGCCCAGCAAAAAACGCTATCACCGGCAAAATAACTCCATGGTAAAAAAAAAACCCAAGTCATTCCCCTCAAGCGAAACTGCTGCCCCTGGGCCCCGGCCCGGCGGCCCCGAGGGTCTCACTCTCACACCGATGCCAGCGATGCCAGCAGTGGCGTCGTCTTGTTGACGGCGGCGTTCGTCGTGGCCTGCGCGTACAGGGAGTTGTGACGCAGGATAAGCTTCAGGCCCTTGGCGGCCTGGGCGGGCCTCGCCGGGACCACCCTCCGCTTCATCGCGTGGTGGTGGTGGTGGCTGTTGTAGTAGTTCTCCGCCAGCGCGGACGCGTCCAGGCACGACCACGCCGACCCCCGCGGTGCGCTGGCCGCCCACATGAACCGCCTGGACGACGGGTCCATCAGCGACTCGCGGAACTCCTTCGCTCCCTCGCAAGGCAAGCCCTGCGCGTGCAACCAAGCAGTTTCAGTTCCAATGCCCAGCGGAGACAGAGAGCAGACATTGGTCATCTGAATGACTGAATGCAAGCGATGATGGTTCACAGTGGTGGTACCGTACCTCTGCCATGGCTTTGATCTTGAGCGTGACGCTGTTGGACAGGACGACAACCTTCTCGTCGCTCCGGAGCCTGCTGAAGACGAGGGCGCAGTCGAGGACGCGGTCCTCGGGCCTGGGAGAGACGATGTCCGCGAGGGCGGAGCTTCGCGGGGAGAAGAACGCCGCCATCGGGTTGAAGGAGGCGGAGCCGATCTCGATCTCCTCGTCGATGCGCTGCGCCGAAGGGGTCGCGGGCGGGGTTGGTGCGACCGGGAACATGTCGGCCGAGCTCTGGACATGGATCCACCAGCTCTCCGTTGCCATGCACTCCTCGATCCATTGCAGGATGGTGGTCGCCTTTGTTGACCGTCTGAACAGGCCCTCCCGCTGCTTCATGGAATCTAACTCCCTGATCACTGTGGAGACAGTAAAGAGAAGCGTAGTACTTCAGTTAGCAACTGCAAGTAGCACACACTAGTAGTAATTCAGTCGGCAAGTGCAAGTAGATCTCTGCCACAATCAAACAGGGGCACGCAATGCAGATATCACAGGCAAGATGGATTAAACCAATTCGTAAAATGGGAGGAAATAACAATCAAAGCCCGTGAAGCATCACTTAACAGCCTGAAAGGACAGTTAAGATGTAAAAAATGCAGAAGCTAGCAGCCCTTAAATTGCTGACATTATAAGCATAGGTTGACTTGTTGAGATGGAGTATTGTATAGAGTATCATAGGCAACAGAATGAATGATGCATGCAAGCAGACATTTGTTCAAATTTCAAAACATTTGGTGACGGGAGCATAACAGAATAAATTTGAAACATTTACAACAGTTGTATTTGCTCTGAACTTACCAATCCTCGGTATGAACAGATGAGTTCCTTTTAGGCCTCTTAACAGCATAATAGCCTTCCTAGATTCGTCATCAAGAAGACTGTCTGTATTAGCCACCATGGTCCAGGCTTTCATACCTTGTCCAGCACTACCTGATTCTTGATTATTACACTGTCCAGCATAAAGATTGGTCATGTCAGATGCGATACTAAAACGAAAAGACATTCATATGGAGCATACAAATATAATCACTCCAATAACTTTTTGAGCGGAATCACTCCAATAACTTACTGAAAGATTGTTGAATTTATCTTCCAACTTGATCACCAAGTGACCAGCAGCAATGTCAGCTGGCTTAGCAACAGCACAGGTACAATCATGCGAGCTAGCAGGTCTCAAAGGAGAATTTGACAGAAGAGTCTGGAAGGGGAGTCTATCAGCAACCCTTTTCTTGGTGATCGCACTTTCAACTCGTATACGGTTTCCAGACATATCCCTTGTTTTCCGAGCTGCAGAAGATAGTGGCGTCAAGTTCTCCTTGTCTGAGCAGAATGCTTCCTGATCTTGATCTATGTCAACTGAGAGGTCCTTGGGAAAACACTTCCTTGCTTTCATGCCTCCTGAAGATATAGGGGTCAAATTCTCCTTATCTGAATTGAAAACATCAAAATCTACTGTGTGGAATTTTTCGGACTTTGTTGATAATTCACTGCATTGCTTCTTATTTGAACTATTCTCTGCTAACACTGAGTTATCCACCCTTGACCCAAGAACTTTCTTCTTATTTGAAGCATTTGCTGCTGACAATGAATTATCCATCCTTGTACCAAGAACTCTCCTAACATTGGTCTTCACCTTAGAGGCTGGAGTCACATTCTCCTTGTCTGAGAACAGATTTTCCTCCCTCACAGCGGACATAGCCTCAGACTTTCCCAGAGCCGGCACTGAGCTTTCCATATCCAGAAGGATGTCAACTTTGAATTCCAGATGTGAAATGGGCATTAATGGGTTAAGATTCTCAGAGACAGGTTCATTTGATTTCATCTGATCTCCAGTGTTGAGCTTGGAGTTATCATTTTCAGAGAAGTCGTCATGATCTAAATTGAGAGGGAAATGGAATCCATCAACTGTTGGGAAATGGTAGGCTTCAGACCTCTATGACTCCTCTCCATTATTATGTTACCTGATACGCTGGGGTGATTTCATCCTTGTCCAGTCGGTAGATCTCTTCATCTTCAATTCCTTCAGTATCCAAATTGTCAAATAGATTCCCACAAATGGTGCCTTCAAGCGGACAGTTCCCAGGACCCTCACCAATGTTATTTGGGTCCATATTCTCGTATTCTGAGAGATCTCCCTCCAAGTTAAGATGGTTCAAACCATCGTGCTTCACTGGCATTATTAGATTTTCTGAAACAAGCTCAGATTCTGTATGAACAGTAGCACCATTCCATTGTGGAATTTCTTTGTCAGGGAACACATCATCTTTGAAATGCAAGGGAAGCCTAGTTTCTTCTGCAGCTTTGCATCAACTGGATCTTCTGGGACATAATTCTCAGGTTTTTCTCTTTCATATTTCCCTCCATGATCATGCTGGCTGGGGATTCATGTCAACCTTATCTTCAGCAATCAACTCTTCCTTTTCTTCAGCTCTTTCAACTTCAGAAATACCAAATAAAGCTATACAGGCAGCGCATTTTGTCCCACAGCTCTGAGAACATACAAGAATCTCATTTTGGTCTACCTTCTGAAAGCTATGGCTCAGAGTGCTGCTTCTATCCCTGCTCCTGCCTGTGTCAACATGAAGCGATTTGACTGACTTCAACTTGGACCTCTTGGACACTTTGTTTGAGGCATCCTGCTTGTCTGACTGGATTGATTTTCCAGCATTTGTCAGTGTGCCTGCCATTTCCTGTATGATCAACGAACCAAAAGATTCTGAAATTTGATCCTTGTCGACCAACTTTTCCTCTGTCACTCCGTCTCTTTTCTCATGAAATTGGGAAAGTGAAGGCGCTTTCGCAAAAAAGGAATGAACAAACTCAGACAATGGAGGTGCTGAGGGGGGCACTTTGGCTGGAAATGCAATGTCTTCTAACACAATCTGTTCACTTGTATCCTGGATATTAGATCAGACAGTTAGCAATCATTTCCAGAAAACGGATCCAATGTTGAAAATCTCTATGATAAAAAAGGAAGAAAACAACAGAACAATATAACTCATGTAAACAATTGAAGACATGAAAGGAACAGTAACACCCAAAGATATTGAAAACCAAAGAACTGACATACATGTTTAAACTGTAAACCAATGCTATTAGGAAACTCAGACAATGGAGGTGCTGCAGGGGGCACTTTGGCTGGAAATGCAACGTCTTTTGACACAATTTGTTCACTTGTATCCTGAATATTAGATCAGACAGTTAGCAATCATTTCCAGAAAATGGATCCAAAGCTGAAAATATCTATGATACAAAAGGAAGAAAACAACAGAACAATATAACTCATGTAAACAAATTGAAGACATGAAAGGAACAGTAACACCCAAAGATATTGAAAACCAAAGAACTGACATACATGTTTAAACTGTAAACCAATGCTATTAGCAACTTGAGCATATACATGAGTTTTACAGGTGGAGTTGGATAATGGATATATATTGTCACCTCATCACATAGTTTGTGCTGATCCAATTTATAGTTGACTTGGTTTACACTAAATTAAGGTCACAAAATTTGGTTTTATATAATGGATAGCACATTTAAGTGTTGATATGCTTTGAGTTCAACATACAAAATGAATGCAAGAACAGAGTGTTTAACTTGTGAAATACAACATTCAGAGAAGCAGCCAAGCGAAATCATATGTGCACAAACGGTTGCTTGACACAAGCTGAAAATTACGCACACCTACCATTGAAAAAAAAATTCATTTGTTTAGCTAAGAAAAAAAACTCGGGGGTAAACCACCCCCAAGCTTTTTAAAAAATCATTTGTCAAACTAAGCAAACAAACATCTGGAATGTCATCTCAGATAAATTTAACTTAGCACAATAGAATCAGGATTCAGGAGCATAGAAAATAATACTCCGTATGTACCAAATAGAGGTTCGCACTTATTCTATGGTTCTATGCACATGCACAATCTATTTCAACTGGCATGACGTGCCCAAATAATAACAAATCTACAGCAGTACAGCATGACAAATTTCATTTAGGCAACATAATTATTTCCAATCAAATTTAGATTCACAAGGCATGGGAAAAAATTGATAATATTTATAGGAATTAGGCAACTGGGTACCGTCAAATAGGAGCGTCAATGCAGTAAACAATTAAGAAGAGAACGTTGATTGAACAGTGACGATTAACAGAACAAATCTAGTTCAAGTGGCATGTAGGAAATCCTGTAGCGCAGAGTGGATCTGAAAATAAGACGCTATATATTCATAGAACATGCATACAAGGATTACTACAATCTACAGTGGAGGAACTAGTCAACACATCAAATATTGGAAACAATTGAGGCAATCCACATTGCTGAGTTTGAATTTGCAACCTAGCAGGTCCATTACTTAGATGCAAAGAAGATCATACATAACCATACTAATACCATAAAATAAAAAAGAGTTGCCACTTTGCAGTTTCAGGCTATCAAATCAATAAAAATGGATTGCAGCTCTAAAGATACTGATAAGCATTTCATACAATGTTTCCAGTATTCATTAATACTGATTTGCTGTGAACAAACCTGATGGGTCTCCATGTCCACTGAATCCATGTGCCCAGGCACTAACTGGCTGCTTGGTTCCTGTGCATTTCATCAAATACTTAGACCTCAAGGAATCAAGAGCTAGCGCCAAATAACAAAAAAACTTCTTCTACGAGCATATAAACGAGAATTAGGTAGTTGCTACCTTAACATGGGGATCCTCTTTGTCCTCCTCAGGCAGCGATGGCATATAGAGCAGATCGTCCATCTCAAATGCTTCACGCAGCGATAACCAGAGGAGCCTATACTCCCTCTTAGAGGCCCCGAGGCGTAGCATGTCACCGGTGGCCAGATCCACCGGCGTGTTGGGTGGGATCCGTCGCCCCGACACCCATGTCCCGTGCACTGCATCAAATTGAAGACCCCATCAATGGGACAAACGCCGAGTTAGCTTCCACAGTCGTTTCGGTCGAAATTGGAAGACTGCCAAACTAGAATTCTGTAGGAAATTTCGATGAGGAAACAAAAATCTGAACCCAAATCAAGGCAGCGTTGATCCCATCCCGAAATGATCCAAGTGCATTATAAGGTATTAAAGTCCTAGTAAAATCCCAAAATACCATACGCCACAGTTGAACGAGCACGAATCAATTGAAATGAACACTAACAGAGCAGCCCAGTCCGCGGAATCGGATCAACCGTGCCAGCGCCGCGATCACGAGCTCAACACGCGGATGCAGAGGAAGGGGGAAAAGGAAACAGAGCGGCCTGGCGTCTCACCGGAGCAGAGGTCGGTGACGGTGATGAGCCTCTGCCGACGTCGGCACCGCAGCTCGAGGTGGAAGCGGCTGACGCTGGGGTGGTCGACGAGCACGTGGCAGTCGGGGTGCCGCCCCACCATCACCGGCGGGTCCTCCTCCTCCCCGCCGCCCTCCACCCCTCGCCCACCGCCGGCCCCGCGCGTCGCCTCCGGCGGGGGCGCGTTGAGGAAGATGTGCTTGAGCACGGCGCCGCCCTTGGCCACCGCGAACGCCGCGATCGGAGCGTCCCCGTCCGCCGCCGCCATGCCGTGGGTCTCTCGGTGCGCGTGGCTGGGTGCCCGCTGGTGAGGTCCAGGAGACGGGGCGCGGACTGCAGATCTCTGCTAGTTTGAAGCCTTGGAGAGGGGGAGGGGGGATGTGTAGGGGATGAGCGCCGGCGGAGGAGAGACGTTGGAGGTGGCTGGGGCAGACGGGCGGCCGATTTGGATTTTGGAATGGAACCTTCCGTTCGGGTCGCAACGGTCAGAATTAGAACCGGCGTGTGCCGCGTGAGCGATCTCTCAAGTGGGCCGAGAAACAGGAAGGTCTGGGCTGGGCTGGATTTCATGACGAGCGGCATTTGTCCTTCTTTCTCTCGGATAGTCGGATGCAAGGCGGGTTGTTTGCGCGGACAACCAACCAGTCGGCGTCTTGCATCCCTACTATTGACCTCCCTCCTTGTGAGTCTCTCTCTAATTCAGAGTGAGATAAGACAGGTTGTGTCTGATTCAACTAAATGTGTATTTAAAATACACTACACAGAGGTGCTATACAAAGGGAAAAACTTATAAACATGGATGAAAAAACATACAGCGCGTTCGGCTGGTGCCATGCACAGTAGATTTTGGATGGTTCTGGATGATTCAATAGTATTCTGTGAGAGAGAATAAGTTGAAACAAGCGAAAACAAGCCGGTACTATACCAGCCGAACGCGCCGTATATTAGTAATTGGTAAGTTTATTACAACAGGATAAAGATTAAAGAGCATCTATGTGTATATTGCGCAAGAAAATGAACAAAGAGAGGAAAAAACATGCAAATTAGTACAAGCAATTTTCATTAGCTTGATGTATTATACAATTTTTTAGAAAAGGAATTTATATTCCGGCCTCTGCAAGAGTTTTGCACGCAACTATCACTACGGGAGATGCGCCCTTTGCCGAAAGTGTTTTCGGCGCTTACCGAAAGTGTCGAAAACACGGGCACTTTCGGAAAAGAAGCGATTGTCGAAAGTGAGTGCGACTTGGCAAAAGCGGCAGACTCGGCAAAAGGTCAGATTTGCCGAAAGTGCCAAACACTCGCAAAGAGGGACACTCGGCAAACGTCCTCTTTCTTCGAGTGTCGCACACTCAACAAAGAATAACCCTCAAACAAAATACCTCAGCGACGCCGGTGGCCCCTCCGTCATCCTTTGCCGAGTCTTTGGCCGTTAGCACTCGGCAAACGTTCTTTTTTTTGCGAGAGTGTGCGGCACGGCATTTTTTCGGCAAAAGAAAATTTCAAAGTATTTTTCCGAGTGCCAATTCGACACTTTCGACAAAGTATTTTATTTTCTTTTTATTTTTTTTTTTTTTCAATTTTTTACGTGGTATTTTATCTGATTACCTTGAAGCATATGTTTCAATTTGGAACTTTTCTATGACTTTTTGGTATATTTTTAAATTTTTTATGTTTACTTGAAGGTTTTCTCGAAAAAGTAAAAAGTAAATTTGAGATGTTAGCGTTTTAGGCATCACACGTCACAACTTGCTCTAAACTTCTAAATTTTTTACCACAATTACTTGCATGATGGCACGACACCTTGACAAAAATGATTTTCGGACTTTGTTTTGTATTTTATATAATTAAAAAACACTTTTTAACAAGTTGGTGGTCATGTTTCGTGAAATGATGTTCAAATTTCATTTAATGTCCCCGACACGGCCTCAAAATACACTAAAAAACATGAATACCATTTTTTGAATCGCTAAATTTAATATTTCATGCAACTCGTAGCTCAAATTTACTTTTTCGAGAAAAATTCAAGTAAACATAAAAATTTAAAAAAAATATACCAAAAGTCATAGAAAGTTCCAAATTGGAACATATGCTTCACTAAGATCAGATAAATGCCACGTGGAAAAAAATTTGAAAACAAAATAAATAAATAAAATAAAAATACTTTGCCGAAGTGTCGAATTGGCACTCGCAAGAAAGGAACCTCTTGTTGAAAGTGTGCTTGCAAAGACTCGGCGAAGAATATTCAGAAATTTTTTTCATCTTTGGATTAAAAGAACCCCCTCGAATTTCTTTGCCGAGTGCCCCAGATCTCGGCACTCGGCAAAGGTCGCCCACTTAACCTTAGCTATGGCGGGGGTGGCCCGCCTCCCTCTCCCACTCTCCTCTCACACCACGGCCTGCCCCGCCCCTGCCGACCACCTGGCGCCACGGACCTCCGCCTGGCCGGCCGCCTGGCCGCCTGGTCTGCCTCCCGGCCAAGCAGTGCGCCCGCCCGCCTGCCTGCTGGCCCCGCCTGACCTCCGCCACCACATGCCTGCCCTAGCCTTAGCCCGGCCCTCACGGGACCTGGACCCACCGGTGGTGCCGCCTGTTGCCGCCTCACCGAACCACGGGAGTGGAGGAGAGGAGGAGCAGGGAGTAGAGGAGAGAAAGGGAGGTGGAGGAGAGGAGAAGGGGAAGGAAGAAGGAAGGGAGGAGAGGAGGAGGAGGAGGAAGGAGAAGGAGGAGGAGGAGCCTTGGCACGGCCACGCCCCTCGTCGTTCGTCCCGCCCCTCGGCTGGAGACGTGAGGTGACCCCTGCACGCTGTCGCCTGGACTACACCGCCACCCAAGGTATAAAGCCCCCCCGGTTGTCGGCCTTCGTGCCTTGTATGTCATTGACGGCCTTCGTGCCGTATGTGGATGTGTGCGCCTTCGTGCCGTACGTGGATGTGTGGGCCTTCATGCCATATATATGTTGTCGGCCATCGTGCCAGCTTTTTTCTTGTAGGTTTTGGAAACCTCCCCGTACAGGGGAGGTTCTGCCAAAATTTTTAACTTATAGTATTATAATTCTTCTTTTGCAGAGCAGGACCCGTCGGAGGGAACCCAGAGTACGTAGGCGACCCCGATCGTCTTCGTCGGCGCTGCGGTCCTGCCTGCACAGTGTCGTCTTGCCACTGCCCCGCTAGCCTGACTCCACCGCCACCCTAGGTATAAATAACCTCTCTTTCTTATCATTGTCGTAGATCGGTGTAACCCAGTTAGGCGTCTCCCATTCGAAACATATACGGTTGGAGGTATGCAGATCTTCGCATATCTAAGATCATATATGTTTCAGATTGTCCACTTTTTTGGACAGCCGCGGATGCGTAGATGGGATATTTTCCATGTTCTGCTTTGATCCGAGACAGAGTTTCGGCACCACCTCCCTGTTGTTCTTCGGATACACACTCTCCCTTCTAAGATGTGTATCGGGAGAACAGCGGGGAGGTGCTGCTGAAATTCTATCTCGGATCGGAGTAGAGCATGTAAACTGACCTCATCTATGCATCCGCGGGTGGGATTAGGACCTATCCTCACCCATTAGACAGTAGGCACGCCGTTCAGATGCAATTGGTGGTTATATTACTCGCTCATGTATATGCTAGAGGATGGATAACTGTGAGTGCATGTACATGGGCCACCCAAGTCAGGCTAAAAGCACCCCTGAATGGATGGACAAGACCGAGGGTTTCTTGAACCAAGCATTTGGCAAGGCAACTAATGGAGCGAGAGACACATTCTGTCCCTGTAGCGAATGCGGAAACAGGAAAAGAAAAACAAGGAAGATCTTGGGGGAACATCTTTGCAAGTATGGATTTACGCCAAACTATACCCGGTGGGTGTTCCATGGTGAAGCCCATCGTACTAGAGAGGAGGTGGTGAGACCACGCTTGGAGGCGTTTGATGCTGATGGCGGGGTAGCAGGATGGTTAGGTGACTTTCACGAAGCAACGCTCGCTGAAAGACCTACGGAGAAGGAGGAGGAGAAGGAGGATGAGGAGGAGGAGCCAGAGCCAACCGGAAAGGTGTTCTACCAAATGTTGTCTTCAGCACAGAAGCTCCTACACGAGAAGGCAACAGTTTCTCAACTAGATGCCATTAGATGCCTAATGGGGTTGAAGTCCCAGTACAACATGAGTTGGCAGTTATTGGTGGGCTGCTTCTGGAGGGTCATATTCTGCCGAGCAGCTTCTACGAGTCACAGAGACTCCTTCGTGCACTTAAGATGCCGTATGAGCAGATACATTGTTGTCCGAAGGGGTGCGTCCTATTTAGGAAAGATCACAAGGATGCAAAGTACTGTCCAAAGTGTAAATCCTCTAGGTATGTGGAGGTAGACAAAGGTGATGGTCAGAAGGAGCAGCTTGAGATCCCCATGAAAGTCCTACGGCACCTTTCGATCATACCGAGGCTCCAACGGCTATTCTTGATCGAGGAGTCCGCGAAACAGATGACATGGCACAAGAATGGCATTCGATACAATCTTGACAAGATGGTACATCTAGCTGATGGTGAAGCATGGAAAAGCTTTAATCGCAAGCATCGTGACAAAGATCTTGAGGCCCGTAATGTATGTGTTGTGCTGGCAACGGATGGGTTCAATCCTTATGGAATGATGTCGGCCCCATACACTTGTTGGCCCGTGTTCGCTATCCCCCTCAATCTCCCCCCAGGGTCCTCCTTCAACGGCAAAACATATTCTTGACGTTGATAATTCCTGGACACCCGGGAAACAAAATGGGTGTGTACATGGAGCCTGTTTATGATTAATTGATCAGTGCTTGGAATGAAGGGGTATGGACTTACGACCGAGCTACAAAGAAAAACTTCAAAATGTATGTTTGGTACCAGTACTCCATGCATGACTTCCTGGCGTATGGGATATTCAGCGCCTGGTGTGTCCACAGGAAGTTCCCATGCCCGGTATGCAAGACAACTCTAGAGTTCATTTGGTTGAAGAAGGGTGGCAAGTTTTTGTCGTTCGACAAGCATCGATAGTTCCTCCCTCTTAACCATGCATTCAGACAAGACACCAAGAACTTCACGAAAGGTGTCAAGGTGACCAACCCTGAACCTCAGAAGATGACTGGTACCCAAGTTCATGCTCAGATAGATGCTCTCGTGGTCAATCCACAGAAAGATAGTCAAAAGAAAGATAATCCAAAGAAAGATTGCTTTGTGTGGTGTCGAACATATGTGGACTCATAAGTCGGGCTTGGAGAGGCTTCCCTATTTTGATGA